ATGTGTCTCTGCTTCTTTTGCTGGTCTCAGAGTGATTCTGACCCTGGAGGGTCCCCTCAAGCGGATGGAGTAAGGAGGAAGCTGGGGTGGGTGATGGTTCTTCCCCACTAGAGGGCAGCACCGGCCCAGCAGAGAGTCCTGGTTGTAAAATATCCTTGTCCTCAGCTTCTAACTGCCCACCAAACCCTCATCAAAGCACTGCTTCTCTCATCTCTCACTGGCCTTCCGTGCCCTCAATTTATACAAATGTATTCTTCCGTCTTGAAATCTGCAGGCTGAAATTTCTCCCCTAAGAAGGAACACTCGGCATCATACGTGCATGAATAAAACATGATGCACGAACAGCAGGAAGCCTGCAAAACATGCAATACCTGTTTATCCGGTGCCCGCTGCCAACAGCCTGACAGCCTTACGTAACTGACCTCTGAGGGGGAAGTGGTGGGGGGAGAGGATGAGGGGGCGACCATTCGCTGAACACAGATTATGGGCCAGACACTGCACGCCATCTGTGTAATAGAATTATCCCCACTGCAAAGTTTATAAACAAAACACTGAAGTTGCTAAGGCTGCATGGTACGTGCCAGAGCGTACGTGCCAGAGCTTATGTGCCAGAGCTTACGTGCCCGACCTTACATGTCCATCCCCACAGGATCATAATTGTTGCCTCCAAGGTCAGTTAGATCCCTGGGTCTCAAAGTTGGGTGTGTATTGGAATCACCTGGGAAACTGAAAATACTAATGCCTAGGTCCTGCCCCACAAGATCTGATGTAGCTGGTCTGGGGTGCAGCCCAGGCACTGGGATTTTTCCAAGTTTTCCACGTGATTCTATGGGCAGCCAAGCTGAGAACCTCTGGGCTCTGCCCCTGCTGACCATGCTCAAGGAACTAGCTGGGACCCAAAAAGGCATCTGGACATGTGGGAAAAAGGAAGGATGTGAGCGCTCTCTGATGTCAGGCCTGCAGGGGGCAGTTGGAAACCTAGCATGTCCAGACTGAGGTCATGCAGCATGGTGGCCGAACCAGAGTCTCTCTTGTACAGCCAGCTAGAGTGGCCTCGCAGGCCGCCACAACTGTGCACCCAACTACAGAACGCTGCCTAGCATACCTGGTCCCAGTGCTGTCTGGTTTCCAGGCCTTACTCATACTGGTCCTCAACACGGTTTCACCCTCTCCTCCAGGCCCGGGGCAGTGCATCAAAGCTCTACCCTCGCCTATGTGGGAAAAGAATCTAAAAAAGAGTGGATATATGTATACGTATAACTGATTCACTTTGCTGTACACCTGAAACTAACACAACATTGGAAATCAACTATACTCCAATTAAAAAAAAAAAAAGCTCTACCCTCCATTCAAAGCCTGCCTCGAATACCACCTCCTCCAAGGGGCCTTCCTAGATTTTCTTTATTTTTCCTTCCCCTTCCCTCTTCTGGCACAGCACGTAGACTGAGACTTTTCTTATAGTTCTGCTTATAGTCTGCCTGGATGCAAAAATAAAGTTCCGTGTAGTAGGCATGCCGCCATAAATGCAGTCTCAGGGAAGGCAGAGACCTTGTTCAAAAAAAATAAATACATAAAAATAAAAACTCCTGTTTTCCAGAGTGCGGATGCAGCCCTTTGCCTGGATGAGACACCCCATGTTTGGGGTCTGTTGAAGTGATCACTACCCAGGCCTGGCAGAGGTAGCAAGCCCCAGCATTACGGAGAACCACGCATCTAATGAAGGTCATCCCACAAGGCAAGGCTTCTTGGAATGCTCGGGAAGGCTCTGCAATTGGTCAAAGTTGTAGCTGTTGCTAGTCTTATTTCTCAGCCCAGCTGACAGAAGCTTCTCTCCCCACCCTCCTGCCCAGCAGGGCCTTACCAGGGTAAGGGCATGTGTCCCTCTGGCTGGCTGGCTGGCGGGCATCTGGACGTCACGCTCACTGTCAGCAAGGGCTAAGCCACGTCTCCCCATTCAGTGCCCCCGTGGGAGTGACGCATCATGGACGGAGCTACCATCAAATTCTCCTGTAGCTTTCTTTGTACGTGGCAGGTACCAAGAAGCACGGCTGGAGCTGGCTGACTCTCTTCAAAGCAAGGAAGAGCACACCCTCCCTCCCCCATCCTCCATGAAAGCCCCTGGAAAACCCTGGGTCCAAGAGTGCTGAGACCACAATGGCTGATGAAATGAGAAAATGCAGCGAGCAGGGTGAGGGTTAGGAAGCCATACAGGCAGGAAATCCACTCAAATAAACAGCAGGTTGCACCTTCCTGAAGGGCCCACATCCTGTTTGCGAGCTGAGTAGGGTCTTCTCCGAAGCTCTCTCTGAGCTCACAGGGGGACAGAGTTCATGGTTTCCTGTTGTCCCTGCAGCCAGCCTCCAGCAGGGGGCAGTGGAGAGATGGGGGGGGCAGGAGCCCAGGGTCTGGCCTCCCAGTCTCAGCTTGGGTGCAGCGCCGCGGAGGTAGGAAGCCGTGCTCAAGGCACTCACCCTCTCTCAGCCTTGGCAGTTCCAGCTGTAAAATGGACAGGGACCTGCCCTGCTTACCCCCTATTACGGGCTGAACTGTGCACCCACCCCTCCATCCGGGTGGAGAACCACGCATCTAATGGAGGCGCATTTCTGCGCATGTGCCCCCATCCATTTGTTGATGCTCTAACCCCCGAGTCCCTCAGAATGGCGCTGTATTTAGAGACAGTGCCTTTAAGGAGGTGACTAAGTTAAAATGAGGCCCTTAGGATGAACCCTAATCCACCAGGACTAGTGTCCTTGTAAGAAGAGAAAGAGACCTCAGGAGGACACATGCACAGAGCAAATGCACATGACACACAGGGAGAAGGCAGCCACCTACGAGCCTAGGAGAGAGGCCTCAGGAGAAGCCAACCCTGAAGACACCTTGACCTTGGGCTTCCAGCCTCTAGAACAGTGAGAAGTAAATGTCTGTCGTTTTAAGTCACCCGGTCTGTGGTATTTTGTTATAGCAGCCCTAGCAAACAATACACCTCCCAAGACAGGTGTGAGGATCACGTGACAATTCGTGAGAAGGTACTAGGAAACTCAGAGTGGCATGCCACCCAAGTGGCATGGAACGTTAGACGCAGAAGTCGAGCCAATAAACATGTCTGAAACCATCCGAGGACGCCCAGGCATCAGGACAGAATCAACAAACAGCTGCTTGCATGGGTGTTACTCCCTGGGTAGGGCTGGCAGGATGTAAAACCAGCAGGGGGCTCTCTCTGCCTGTGTGGGACCCTTGCCTTATTTATCATGTCTGAACCTCTCCCTGCACCCACGGAAGTACGTTTGCTGAATGTTGTACCCAAGACCCGCGGTTCTCAGGCAGGATGTGAGCTTCAGTGTGACAGAACTGCAGAAAATCAGATGAGGGGAACAACCCATTCACAGCCGAGCACCCGAGTCAGGTTCATGAACAAGGATGATTACGAGTGATGATGATGCGGTGGTGATGGGCAACAGAGGGCAAAGGAGCAGGGAGGCCAGTGGAGATTCAGAGAGGGGGTGAGGGGCAGGGCTGTGGATGGGATGAACTAAACTCCACTGAAGGTGCAGGGATCTCCGATTGACTGGGAGTGAGATGCATGTCCCCCACCCTCCCCGAGGGGCGCTGCATCTAGGACCCCAGCATCAGAAGTGGGTCACTGCCCGGTGGACTTGCTGGACTTATAGAAGACCCCGTAGCAGCTTCTCCCGGCCTCCGCCAGCTGCTTCTTGAAGAGAATTGAATTGCTGAAGAGGTCCTGCTTGTCTTGGGATCTGCCGGCACAGCTTGTATCTTCAAAGGACTTTGGAATCTTAATGAATTTTCTCAGTGGCCCCAGAGAGGCTGCCTGATGGAGGGGACAGTGTTGTGGAGGTCACTGAGGCTCAGAGAAGTGGAGTGATGGGCCCAGGCCTCAGGGAGGCGGCAGGACCCCAGGTCAGAGGTCAGGCCCAACCCCGCGGGGCGGGGGTCATGGCGGCTCTCCTGCAGGTCATTTCTTAGACCTTAGTAAGCACTTCCCATTCTCATTCCCCAAAGTACTCAGGTGTCCACGTGAGGTGACCTCATTTGGTCTTTACTGCCCAGGAACGGAAAGCCCACTGCTATTTCTATCTTCTATCTAGTCACACCGCCACCATTGCTAGTTACAACGACGAGATAATTTTTCATTAAGGACCTCTCAGTGTCAGGTGCTTTAGACCTGGTATACAATTAAACCCTTATGATAACTCTGAGACTTGGACCTCTTCACCTCCAGTTTACAAATGAAGAAACCAAGGCACAGAGAAGTTAGGTTACCAGCCTTCTCCACACAAGCAGAGAGGGGCCCAGGTTCTGTGGGTCCCCAATCCTACACTTCCTCCCACTTACCACTGGGCAGGAAGAAAGGGCAGCAGAAAAGGTCATGGGTCGTGGAAATCCTTCCAGGAGTTCTAAAGGAACTGCTGTTTGCTAGGAGGCCTGAGAGAGACAGAACTGGACCCAAGCACAGATACACATGTACTCAGCCTGGGGTGTGGGTCCCTGGGAGCCCTTAGTTTACCCGTCCTCCACTCAGCAGGCGTGCTTTCCACTAGCAGTGGAAACGGGAGGCTCCCAGGCAATTCCTCGTCACCAGAGGGAGCCAGACACCTGCTCAAACCCGGGACGGATGCTTTGGGAGAGGCGGGTTTGCTGTACAAGGGAGGACGGTCCCCCACCTGCTCCTCTGAGGGTGGCTTCCCTTCCTGTAGGAGGACACGCTGGGACAAACAACTCAGCAGGTCTGCGGTCATCAGTGAAGGTTCTCATGCTGTGTCGTCAAGGAAACGACTGTCTCCAAAACGCTGGGGCAGCGGGAGGGAGGCCTTTGGGATCATAACTGGTTACCCCGCAACCGCGGTACCTTGAATTCCCCAACCCGCAGAGTCTGTACTTGACTCGATTCATCTTCCTAAAGCTTATGGAATCATACCTCTCCCCTGCTTGAAACTATAAAGCAGGGGCTCCCTACTTTAGAACATAAAGTCCAAATGTGGGGCGGGCAGTGTCACGGGTAGGGGCGGGGCCGCGGTGCCAGCCTGCATAACCACACATGGTGCTGCGTGGACTGGCCTCTGAGAGCAGGCTGGGGACACTGAGGTGAGCAGGTGGGGACCTGGTGAGTCTCCTACTGAGTGCACACGGAAGGGCGGGGCTGGCTGGGCTCTGAGCTGACGGGAGAGCAGCAAGCTTGGTGCCCAAGGAGGCCGGTGAGCGCTGACTTAGTGTGAGCACAGCATCAGAAGCAGGCTTTGGGGGCGGGGGTCCCATGGCTTTGTCCATCAGGCTATCAGTGGACTCAGGCCCAGGTCTCTGAACAGGATGCCCTCCACATAAGCAGAAGCCCAGCTGGCATTCATGGGGCACAAGATGGGGACAGGAGCTGGGATTCTGGGATAAAGCAGAAATCCCACTATCAAAACTGTGTCCTACGGCCAGGAGAACGGACTGCACTGTAGCCTTGAAAGGTGCCCCAGAACAGAAATCTCTCCATCTAGAGGCAGGGCTGGGTGTTCTGAGGTCCCATATGGGGCAAGATAGGCAGACTGCAAAGGTGACAGCTAGTGGGACCCGATGGCTGCGTTCTGCCATTTCCAACCTCATCTCCAGCGGTGTCCCTGAACCAGGGGCTCTGTTTGATGAACCGTGGAAAATCGTTGAAGAGTGAATAAAATGCCAATTTCATCCTGATTCATCACTAAGGGGACCCGGCTGCTTGCTGAAATGATGGTCTGGAGATTTTGAAGCTGGACAGAATTTCAAGGATAGGGTATTCAGCACGGGGTTTACATGTTCTCAGAGAAGGGAGCCGTTGCTGTCAGAACGCCCCAGGAATGGGTGTGCCCCACCAACTTCATTTCCTCTTTGGTTGTCCTATAGGGTCAGGAGGCTGATTAGATTGGGGGACGTCATCAACACATGATACCGTGAGGCAAGCACAGACGGGACAAAAGTGCTCGCTCACAGTGCGAGACAGGGAAGCCGCGCCGGTGCTGGGAGCCGGAGCCGGCAGAACCTTTGCGGCCAGCAGAGCAGGTGCGGAGAGTCTTGTGGGACAGGAGGGAGTCTCACTCCTACCCTGTTGGTACATACGCGATGGTGCATTCGCACATTATGCCCATTTGAAATACTGGAGGTAGATTAAAGACTCGAGATGGATGAAATGTGCTGTATCCATGGACCCAAAGTACCAGGATGAAACGTAGCCAGCATTCATGGACGGGAAACTTGGGGATAGGCTGGGAAAGGTGTGGTAAGTCACCTGTTCAAGGCAGGGAGTCCCAGAATGAGCCCTAGCTAGCGAAGCACTTGTCCCAAACGCCAGCGCTCCCTCAGCGGCATCAACAGAGTCTGGGATGCAAGGGGGACGTCCCCTTCAGCTCACATGTCAGCCCCAGTGTGGTCAGTCCAGAATAAGACATCTGGAAAGGGCCATGCTGTGCTGGATTATCTCTTGAAGGGCACCTGGGGGAGGGAGGGATCTAGAAGCCATTTCATGAAATGACTACAGGACTGCAAAGGAAGAATGACTATTAAAAAGAGGAATGAGCCAGTGGTATGACTGAGGCACTGTCATGGGGAAGAGGGGCTCCACCACTGTGTGTATTTCCAGGAGCCAGAACCAGATTCGGGATGCTGCTGTAAGGAAGCAGGTGACCGGGAATGTCGGGCACAGGTGGACCGGCTGTCTTAGGAGGTAGTGAGATCCTTGCCACTGGGGGTGTTCAAGTGGAGGCCAAGGTGTCGGGGTTGAAGGGAGGGCTTTCCTGCTGGGTGTTCGGAAGGCAGACTAGACAGATTCTAAGATTTTAGGATTTTCATCTGGGCCAGGAATTCCTCAAGTCTTTCCACCATGCTGGGCACACAGAGGATTGGGGGTCCTTCCCATCAACTGCCCCAGAAGCACAGGTGTGACGTCCCTTCCCCAAAGGGGCAGGGGAAGCAGGGCGTGGAGGTGTCAACCAGAAAGCCATGTCACCCCAGCCATCCCCCTGCTGCCCTGCCGTCCGCTCTCTCAAGATTCTGAGGCTCAATCAACACCAGCTGCTTGATTTCCCTGCATCTCAGCCCCAGAAGATGGGTTTTCTGGAAAACTCATTTATGCAGACACTGAATTTCTCTAGGGAAATTTGAGAGGGGGGATTCCAATTCACAGACTGGAGAATGGGGGAGATGAGTTGCTGAGGGATGTCCACTTTAAAAAGTGCAACAGGACAGGGCTTCCCTGGTGGCACAGTGGTTGAGAGTCCGCCTGCCGATGAGGGGACCGCGGGTTCGTGCCCTGGTCTGGGAAGATCCCACATGCCGCGGAGCGGCTGGGCCCGTGAGCCATGGCCGCCGAGCCGGCGCGTCCGGAGCCTGTGCTCCGCAACGGGAGAGGCCACAACAGTGAGAGGCCCGCGTACCACAAAAAAAAAAAAAAAAAAAAAAAAAAAAAGTGCAACAGGACAGATGGACAGATGGAGAACAGGTTTGGGAAGCACACGCCCACCAGGGCAGGTCGCTGGGTGCAGTCCTCAAGGCCCTTCTGAGAACACAGCTGGGGAAACTATCCAATAATTGGTCCAAACACTGTGAGCCTCCTTTTCCCGGAAAATCACTTCTGGTTCTGCTTGGAGATGAGGGAGAAGGCATTTAGTCAGAGCAAGAAAACCAAGTCTGATTCTGGCTGCATATTTTGGTTTGGGGTTAACTGAAGCGATCAAACTCCTCCCACCGGAAGCACTGGGCATGAAGCAACTTGTGTTGTTGTTTGTTAATTTTTACAAAGAGAATGACTCTCTCAGTTCTGACACCTGACAAGTTGGCTTAGAAGGGGGCAGTTTCTCTAAAGCAGTGGTTTTTCACCAGGGGCAATCTTGCCCCGCCCCGGGGAAGCCCTGCCTGGAGACATTTTTGGTTGTCACAAGCCAGTAGGGAGTGCTACTGGCATCTAGTGGGTAGAGGCCAGGAATGCTGTTGAAAAGCCTATCCTATGATGCACAGGACAGCCCTCCCGGTAAAGAATGATGCAGCCTAAAAAAGTCCTTTCCGGAGCTCCTATCTCTCTAGCAGTGCTTTGCCATACACAGGTAGAAGCACCAAACTCGTAAGTTCAACATTCTGCCTAAGGTTTTCCTTAGCCAGATCTGTAAGTTCTTTATGCTACAGAAGCCCTACTCTGTAGCAGCCAAGCTGCAGCAGATCTCAGCTCAGCCCACCTCCAACCTATGGTGCAAGCAGACAGGGGTGGTGAGGGGTGTGGAGAGATCACGTCCAGTGAACACGGATTGTCATCTGGCACTTAGAACTGAATAAGCTTGAGGCGCACCCTTGTTTCTGCCAGGGAAAAAGCAAAAACCTCGATCCCTACAATTCTAGAAGCTCTTGATTACCCCGGAAAGCCACTGACCACCTTGTCCACTGGTTCCTGACAACACTGCTGTGCAGTCAGATGTGTCCCCATAACCCCACTGGCATCTGTTTCCATGGGGCCGGGTGTCATGGGGTGAGACAAGAGGACACTGACACCTGAGGATGGTCAAGTTCATTGAGACCACGCGTCAACACTGCAGTGTAGACACGAACGCCTCACTTTTCACAGATGATGACACCGAGAGGTCAAGTTGTCTTGCCCAAGCCCTCGGCTTGTTTCCCAGCCTATGATTTGACTCCAAAGTCCCCCAAGTGCTCTCTCTACTACAGTTTTGGCTCCCAAACTCGTCTCCTTGCTGCCAACGGCTGCCAGGTGGAGGGCACTGAACGTGAGATCGAGGTCATGATTGCGATGTATCTAGGGCCCCCTCTTTCTCCAGTCTGCCCTGTGGACGTCTGTATAAGGTTTCACAGTGGGCTGAATTATGGCCTCCCAAAAGGTATGTCCACATCCCAGAACTGGTGAACACAATTTGGAAAAAGGGGTTTTGCAGATGTAATTAATTAAGGATCTCAAGCAGTGATTATCCTGGGTCACCCTGGTGGGCCCATAAATCCAAGTGTCCTTATAACATACACAAGATGGAGAAGAGAAGGCCATGTGAAGCCAGAGACTGGAGTGACACAGTCACGAACCAAGGAATGCCCGAAGCCACCAGAAACTGGAAGAAGCAAGGGGCGGATTCTCCCCTAGAGCTTTTGGAGGGAGCGTGGCACTGCCAACACCTTGATTTCAGACTCCTGGCCTCCAGAACCATGAGAACAAACATTTCTATCGTTTTAAGCCACCAAGTGTATGGTAATTTGTGACCACCCCAGGAAATGAATATAATTTTCTTTAAAATAAGAGCCCCACGGCCTAAAGTTTGAAGATCACTACCTCCCTTGGATCATCTCCCCTGGGTCGTCTATCAAGTGCAGTCCAGGGGCTCAGAAAACAACTGTTGAGTGGAAGTTGAGTGAACAATGCTTTGAGGTTGGGTTGGTCCAAATCTCCTTGTAAATATATGATTCAACATCTCGTGTGTATGTGTATGTGTTTGTGGTGAGTGGCGGGGGGAGGATTAAGGCGGGCTACGCTTATTGGGCTTGGAATTTCTCAGTTCTTTCCCAAAGTCTCCATTTTGCACCATCCTGAATCCTTTGAAACCTATTAACTAACTGAGAAGTTATCCATGAGGGAAAAAGCAAAGTCTGAGCACTATCTTTGCTACCCAGGCATCTGACACAGCGCACATCATAGGGAAGAACTGATTAGCACCATTAATTGCACTGTCAGTGACAGTGGAAGAAAGACGGGCCCCTGCCTTAGAGACCTCCGTGGTGCAGGTTACTCAGCAGAAGGAACAGGAGCGCGTCACGTCCAGACTCCCAGATCATGACGAAAACATGTGCTGTGTGATTTGCCTGCAGGGACCACCCTACAACGGCCGGTCTGCATAAACTCAGCCACAGAGCGGACCATCAGGGTCGTCAGAGATGGCCCCGCTCATTTCATAGGTGGTGACACTGAGAGCCCCAGAGATGAAGTGACGTGTCCCCAGGTGGCACAACTGAAGAATCAGGACCAGAAGAGAGGCCACAGCCCGCCCAAGGCCCTCTGCTCTGTCTCAGGGCCCCTCACTTGCATGTCCATGGATGGGTTAGCACCATCCGTCGGGAAGAGTGCTCTGGGCCACCCATCATTTTGTAAACCCAAAGGCGGGAGGAAAATGATTCCCAGACAGGTGACACTTAGCTTCAAAGGACTCTGTCTCTGACCTGTATTTTTTAAAAGGCTAGAAAGGGAGTGACGGTAGCTCCGACTTCATCCGTTCCGGAGTCCAAATTACTCAGTCGAGCTCGCAGAGTGCCCCATGCTGTCCTCTGAATGCCTTCCATCTCTACTGCATCATGGCCAAATGGGAGGACTTGGCGTTCTCTGAACCGCTTCACCTGCAGACCGTGAGCCTCCCCAAGCAGGGAGCCAGGCCACCTGCGTCCTCACACTCCCAGGGAAGGATCATGGGGGCTCGGCCCCTCCTCCCTCTTCCTCACACCCCCCCCTCACTCCTCGAGGTCCAGCTGGGGCTAGCCACCCCAGGATGGCATTGCCAAAGCTCATCTCCCACCTCCATGACCCACCAGGGGAGAAGCCTTCCTTTCATCTGTTCCTAGACTCCCAGGGCAGAGCTGCACCCTCTTCCCCCTACCTTTCTTCTCTCTGATCTTTGCCGTCTTTGTACGCACCCTCTGCCCCAAACATACTAATCTGAAAAATTAACTTTAAAAGATATCCATCAATACTTAAAGTGGTGGTAAAATTCACATAACATGAAACTGACCATCTTTACCCACTTTGAAGTCTACAGTGCAGAAGGGTTAAATGTATTTACACTGTTGTGCGATCAACCTCCAAAACTTGTTTCTAAAATACTTTCTAAATATTTTTAAAGAATGGAAAATTTTAAATATAAAAGTAGAGAGTCCAGGCTAGAATAATGAAAATCCAGATTACCCATCACTAGCCCCAAACTTCCTCAACTCATGGTCCACTTTCCATGTACATCCCACCTATGTCTCCCGCTTCTGTGTTACTCTAAAGCATAACCCCAGACCTCATTTTGTCCATAACTATTTCAGGATCTATCTTTAAAAGATAAAGACAAAGCCACAATGCTATCATCAAAC